ACACGTGACCCTAAACGCACTACCGGTTGTGCGGGTATGAGTTCCCTAAAGCTAAGGTATGTCTTACTTAAGGAAAAGTGTTATCTCTATAAATAAATATAAATAAAATATAGTAGAAGAGCAGAAAAAAGCAAACAAGAAGCAAGAGACTAAATGGAAATAGTACTTACTCTGACAAAGCAGGGAAAGTATGTATGCCGTATCGGCGAAACATGGTAAATGTATGCATGATACTGATGTCCTGCTATCGTTGCGCGAACCAGCAGAGGTATTGCACCAGTGGCGGCGGCAGGTCGGCGTGAGGGAGCAAGAAAATATCGGAACTTGATATGAGGTGTCAAAATAAACTTAATAAAAAGTCACCTAAGCTTAAGCTAGATTTACCTAAATATTTCATCGCTTAGGGTTAAGGTCCTAAGTTTTCTTTCCTTGCCTAGGGGGGAGGCTCAAGATCTGGTGCAACGACGAGCTGGAGCTACTACTAATAGTGCTTGTATTTTCGACAAAGTAGCGTAAATATGTGTATGCTATATCGACGAAGCCGGGAAAGTGTGTATGCTATCTCGACGAGGCAAAGAAAGTGTGTATGCTGTGTCGGCGAAGCAGAGTAAATCTCTGCACGATGCTGTATTGATGAAACAGGGTAAATATGTATGCGGTATCGACGGGTCAGTTCAAATGCGTGATGCCAGTGTCCTGCCGCCGTTGCTCTTTCCTAATTTCCTTATGGGAGGGCATTAGGAAGGCGTTAGGTAGTAGTTACTGCAAAATAATACTTCAAGTTCCAGAAGAGCAATGCGACCATAGGGCTAATCGTATCGTTAGGGGGAATTAATGTCAGTCAGGCTGTGATTAATTCCAGTTTACTGCGAGATATAGTGTATATCATGTTTACGCAACTTACTTGAGGTACAGCTTTTCTGATAAGTATGAGCACTGCTAATACCCATGGTTATAGCATTGAAAATGATTGCATAAGAGAACCCAGTACACGAGATGTAGGATCCAACGATTGATGGCAAATTCAAGAAGGCGAAGATAGGCACAATGGACCTACCTGATGACAATCCGGTTGCTGTACTGCTGTACACATAATGGCTAAGTATCTCTATCAGGGTATGTATCGCACTGTTGATGCTCATCTCTCAAACTCCGAATAGAATAATAAGCAAGAGGAAGATGGAGCTCTACAGGGCGACTTTTGTCAGCAACAAGAGAAGAGGGTCAAGAGGCTGAATGCAATGCTGGGAAATCCAATTGCTACTATTTAATAGAGATCACTCTTGTGGTCATAATGTGAGTGTACCTACCTACCTAGGTATTAACAGGGTATGCAGGATCAATTTGAGGGCAGGCCTCAATGTTAAGGAATAAACACCAGGATTTACATTAAATAATTATTTAGCTTTGACCCAGTAACGACCAATAGATGGGATCCAGGTATTCCAATAACAGCCACAAAAGTATCAACAATAAAGTCTTTACATTAAATAATATTCATGCAACTTCCAACTGCCTGTTTTAACTACTATTCCTAAAGCTGCATACTTCTCACAGCACGTCAGCAGTTATCTTTTCTATCTGAGTCCTTCTTCATGGCCCAGCATCAAGCCGAGCGCACAATGAAAGATGGGTTATAAATCAAAAATTACGCCTCTCATGGCCCCGAAGGACAATGAAGTGCGGACGACTCCGCGATGTGCAATGCAGGCCGTCACACACTGAGGTTCCTCATTCATGAGCGAGGAAACTCCAAGCAAGGTAAGTATGAAGAAGAAAGGAAAAGAAGAGCAGAAGAAGAGAGGCAGCTCGAGTTTATATAGAGGAGTTTTTCTGGGTGGCCCGTGCGCTGTTGACAACCTCAAGGTTGCTAGGCCAATGGAGGAGCTATGGGTAGCTGCACGTGACTGTTGCCTCAGGTAGCTGCTCTGTGCTGCTAACATTTCGGAAGTTGCAGAGCAGCGACAGCTCAGCTGCGTCTCTTTGGAGTTCGAGTTGGCCTTCGCGATTACCTCAATTGGGCATTCAAGCCTACCTAGGTAGGTAGGTACGATTAGTTGAATAAAGCATCAGCCGATCACCATTGTTCGAGAAGCTTGAACCGCGCCAGTGATTACGGCTTAGCTGACATTTACTAACACATTACAAACCTGAGAACCTACGTGTCGATCGTGGCGCAGGTCCGTAAGATCAAATATTGCCCTAAAGCCTCGCGAGACTCACCACGTGTTCTACGATGACAAGCGATGACAAGCGTGAAGTATAATTCTATAGCTCCTACATCGAGAATTAATGCCCGAGGATAGCAGTGGGCCTGAATTTGTGGTGATTAATGATGATGTCTTTAGGGTAAGAACTCGGTCAGCATCATAGAACGCGAGGTATCCGACGAGAATTACATGGAGCTTCTGACAGCCTTCACCGAAACTTGCAGTCGTACTCAAGAAAGCTGCAGTAGTATTTTTGCGGATCTCGGCGTTCATTTTGCAAATTGGCATGGCATTATTATGCTACGGAGAAGCTGCAGTGACATGCTATCGAAGTTTAGGAATCATCCCCGTAGGTACGGAGTACTACATTCGATGTTATGAGTCCTTCCTTTGTGTTTGTACTAGTTGAGATGTTGCCAGCCTTTTCGAGCTAAGGGCCAAACAAGACTCGTATCTGCATCACCACAGTCACAAACTTACAATGTCGCCAAAGTACGGTGACATATCCTGAGTCTGACACGAGAGAATGCATACCTTCTCGGAGGCCTCGCCTTCGACAACATCGATGGTATTAACCGTATCATCCCAGGCGAACCGAGGGCCAGGGTGCGTCCTGCTAGCTTCGGTAGTTCGACCGTTCAGAACTTCAGATCTGAATTGCGGATATGCTTGTCTTAAAATCGGCGAGAAAGTGGGATTCGTATTCGATGAACAAAGGGACCAGCGCTTAACGTTATACACAACAAACAATTCGGACCAAGTATTGCGCACCTCAAAGCTAACAGTGAGATCTATGAATACATTTCAACGTCAGCATACTTGTAGCCTAGTTAGTTCAATGCCCAATACAATATTGGATATCACGGCAGTGGCTTACCTCCATTGGCACACAAGTAAAACGTGTAAGCCAGGGCGCTTCAGAGTGCGCGCTCACGGCACCAAGTTGCCGGGACAAAGTCAATTAGAGACGCTTCACCATGGCTTGCTACACAGGGAGTCTCGGCTCGGTCTGGGACCCGGTTTGATCTAGCGCTCAGAGAGTTTCGAGGAGAAAGGTCAAACAGAAAACACTAAACGAAACCAATTTTGGTTCGGGGGCATCAAACTGTCCGCGACGATACGGAGCCGCTGGAACCCTAGCATAGAAGCCACAGATATGCCGAGGGCTGTGTCTCAGTTCACCTGTTTGTTGTCCTGCCTGGCCTACTAAATGAATGTTTGGGCCTTTGGGGTAGGGCGGCCGCCCCTGTGCTTCATCCTGGTTTGAGGTTAGCAGACCACCCTAGAGGACCCTACAGGGGACGAAGTTAAAGTCGACTTCATATAATTGGCATCAGTTGGAATGACTATAAAGAGGAGGGATGAACTACCAAGAATGGGATTGTATCATCAACAAACACTTGCACACTCACACTCAAACTTGTAAACATAACAAACATCCAACCCATTCAAACAAACAGTTCCAAACCCATCATCAACCACCACCATCACGTGACCACCCTCAGCATCACCAACCTCCGCTATCACTACCATCTAACATCACCAAAATGCCCTCTCCAATCAAGCTTTTGGCCCTTTCCGCCAGCACCGTCTCTGCTGCCGTCCACGTCGTCAAGGTCGGAGACGGCGGCCTAAACTTCAGTCCTGCCCAGACCTCAGCCAAGGTGGGAGACACTATCGAGTTCCACTTCTATGAAGGCTTCCACTCCGTTGCCCAGAGTAGCTTTGCCAAGCCCTGTGAGCCCATCAACAGCACTGCATTCTTCAGCGGCGACCAGAATGTCAAGACCAAGGTCAGCGATAAGGTCTTCACCATCGAGGTCAAGACCGAGGATCCCATTTGGTACTACTGCGCTGTCCAGGGACATTGTCAAGGTGGAATGGTTGGAGCTGTGAATGCTCCGTAAGTTGCACTATCTTGTAATCAACATTATATATGCTAACAAACGAATAGTACCAGCGGTGCCAAGAGCTTTGACAACTACGCCAAGGCCGCCGCCGACTCTGAAGATAGCTCTGCTCCCAAGTCTACCGGGGGAGGCAAGCTTGGCGCCGCTGAGACAGGAAGCGCCTCAGGTTCTACCTCAGGTACCGCTACCGCCACTGCTACAGAGAGCGGAACTGCTGCCAGCGCTTCAGCAACAGAAAGCGGCAACGCTGGTATCGAGGCTCGAGGACAGATCCAATGGGGTCTTATGAGCGGTGCCATTGCTGCCCTCTTTGGCGGTCTGATGATGTAGGAGAGGCTCCTGACGATTAACATTGTGTTACGATTCCAGCCCTAGAGGCATTATATTTGCTTCAGCTAGCGAGTTACTAGTCATGAAACATTATGTATACCTAAACGCAGACAGACGGTCTCCTGCAGGGAGTAATATGAATATACCCAAACTTCTACCCATAATGAGCACTAATGAAACACAAACCGTCACTGTCTCTGAGCTGTTAGGAACCAGGCCTCGGGGGGTAAGGGGACCCAGACAAATAAACCCAACAAAAGATATCCTAAATTTAGTAAGACTACCTAAATTTATCCTAAGTTTCTTTACGTCTTTATGTCTTTTAGGATCAAGGTCCTGAATTTTCTTTCCTCCCCTAGGCAGGGCATCGGGGGGCAATATTGGGTATTGAATGCCAATATGCATACTCATGTTACGAAGAGATGATGATGTTATGTTTAACATAAGTTGTGTTCATATTAACTCAAGTCGTGATCCTACGCTCCGTCGCGATAGTCCCAGATAATTACATTCTTCAACTCCTCCCGTTATCGTCATATGGTTGTGTTCGTTACTGCTTCTTCCACTGTCCAGCATTCTCGACACCCTTGGAGATGCTGTCGAGTCCGCCCTGAACTCCTGTCCCCAGATTGCCAATTCCGTCCCCGAGAGGGCGGCCAGCGTCGCCAGTCGCGGAGGTTACTGTATCTCCAAGACCACGCGTAGCAGCTCCGGTAACGTTTCCTACGGTACGCCCAAGTCCCCCTACGGTATTGCCAACAGTGGAGGTGAGGAAGTTAAGGCCTCCCCCGACGGTTTCGCCAACGTTACCGGCAGGGTTGTTGTTGTTCTTGTTGTTCATTGTGGTGGTGGTGTTTTAGTGATGGTGTTTTGGTTTTGGCAGTGTGGTGCTTGTATCTTGAAACTTATTTTGAGGCTTGGAGTCTTGTAGATTGCAGATAAATAACTCTAGAATCAGTGGAAAGAAGCCTCTCTTAAATATATCTCTTGTTCTCATCGGAATCTCAACAATATCTTGTCCTGTAAATCATCAGCCAGGTTGGATCACCTAATGACGTCAGTCGGCCGGGTTCATTGGATCAGCATCTAACCACACCAGCCACACCACACCTCTAAAATGACGTCCCTCGATACATAATTACGCATTCCGATGTTTGAGATGCATGCAGAGGTGTCCCTGATCAGCGATTTTATAGGGCAGAAGAGCACCACTAGCAGGCATGTCCTGACAACTGCTATGGTGAGTTTATGTCATGTTCTGGACCTGGACCGCTTGAAAGGCCGGAGAGATGCCCATTGTGGCGCATTTGTCCGTTAGCTGTCAGACTGTGAGGCTGTGACTGGTCGAGCTAGAGAATCGCGACTTATATTGTGCAGGTTTCGATGCGCACCTTGAGATCTCTGTGCGATGCGAGATGCTGAGTTTTATCGTCATGGAGACAAGACCTTGGAAGGCCATGACGTTGGACGCGCACGCAGGAGCACCATGTGAATAGATGTGTAATGTCATAGGAAGATGTGGAAAGATCATCATGGGCATGATGATCATGCCCGGCTTTTAGTTATGCTGCTCTAAAAAAACTCAACTGAACCAAGGAATGCGCTACCTAACCAATATTGAACTCGTCTGCCGCGGAATTCATCAGCATCATACTCTTCTTCCTGATAATGTTCTGGTTTTGCCTCTCATCTCCAGTTGCCTGTTCTGTATTCTTCTCGACACCCTTATTCGTCCGCTTCTTAGTCTTCCTCTCCACACCTGCGCCGATGCCGCCAGGTGCCTCTCTCAGACCGTAGCTCTTTGCCGTGTGTCCCAAGTGCAATTCTGAAATGTCAAAGTGCTTCCTCTCCTCCTTGGTATGCGTAGCATATGCCCTAATGTGAGACTTGAAGCCGTTTCGAGCAAGTTCTAGTCGCTTGGTGTCCGTCAGGAGACGTTGCTCAATGTGCAGCTGAAGGGCCTCCGCCTTGTCATGGAAAGATTGCCCCTCCTCCGGTTTCGCGGACGTCTCGACCGGGAATTCGAGTTTCGTCATCATTCCCTTCTGGAGAATAGAGTCGTAGGATTGCGGAGTTGGTGGCGTTGGCGCTTTCATGAGTTCGATGTATCCTTCTTCGGTTCCGGGAAGCAGGAATAACAAAGCATCACCGGGTCGACCAGCACGAGCAGTACGACCAACACGATGGATATGATCGGCGAAACTGAACGCAGGGTCGTACTCGATGACCAGATCGACCGACGGAATATCGAGACCACGCGAGGAAACATCGGTGGTGATCAGAAGAGATGGAGACTTGCAAGCTGAGAACGATCGCAATGTAGCTGTACGAATGGGTTGTGACAAAGATCCATGCATCCTGTGCAGAACGACCTCAGGACTTGCTGGTGAAGTGATGTATGCTGCTTTTGCCACTGTCTTCGAAACCGACTCTGCATCCTTGGAGCCTGCGACAGGTGCCTCATTATTGTTGGGGTCTCGCAACAGTTCGTAATGGAAGTCGACAGAGTCGGCACATGATATGAAGATAATCGCCTTCATAGTCTTTCCACGCCGAGAGAATGTTGCCTTGAGGTACGAGATGAGAGTAACGAGTCGTAGCTTGGCTGGGACAATAGAGTAGTACTGGTGCAGCTGTGCGGGCGCCTTCATTTCCGTATTTTCCACATCAAGGTCCATCTCCTCCTTCTTTGCTGTCAGGAATGTCGCATCCGCCAAACTCATCTCTCCCAGCTTCTGTACGTTCATCTTCATTGTCGCTGAACACAGCACTGTAACTCTTCGTTCGGGTAGGGCCGTGAGCGGTGTTCCATCGGGTAGTTTGTCGGATACATCAACCGCCTTGATAGCTGTGATAACCTTCTTCAAGTCGTCCTCGAAACCCAGATCCATGAGCCGATCACCTTCATCAAGAATCAACCATCGAACCGTGCTGAGGCTAAGCGCCTTTGTATTGTCGATATGATCAGCAAGTCGTCCGGGAGTAGCAACCAGGAAATTGACACCCTTCCGTATGCGAGCCTTTTCCGCCTTCTTAGATTCTCCTCCGGTAATTGCTGTCGAGACGAGCCATGGGAACGGTCGAATGAGCTTCTCCAGAACTGTGTGAACCTGTTTTGCAAGTTCACGAGTAGGCGCAACGATAATGGCAAAAGCACCAGAATCTCGATGAATCTGAGCCTTCCCCTTTTCGCTGAGAAGTAGAACACGATGTAAGATAGGTAACAGGTATGCCAAAGTCTTTCCGGAACCAGTTTCGGCTTGCACAAAGGCATCGGAGCTACTTGTTAACATGTGCGGAACCACCTTATTCTGAATAGCCGTTGGTCGCTCCAGGTTCATCTTGCCAAGCTCATCAACAAGTCGGGCAGAAATCGTCAATGTACCGAAGTTCGCAACATCTGATAAAGGCGCATTGGTGGCTTCGGGAGCTGTCCATTCTGTCTGCTTTTCCTCCTCCTCTGTCGTCTGTGCGGGGTTGAATGAGAAGAGTCGGGAGATGACTTGTCTTTTGCGATCTGACTGCTGGTTGCGAGGCTGGCCTGAACCTCCGTGGCCATCATTGTCTGTGGACCTTGGTCGCGAACTGTGTCTGCCCATTGATTTGTGATCGAATGAGTGATCCCCTCCTCCATCGTCTGTTCTTTGACGTTTTGATGACCTGCCCTCATCAAATCCGTCTCCAGAAGGTTTGGCTTGTGGTGTCTTCCCAGAAGCTATCCTCGCCGACTTCTCTGCCTGCTTCCTATCACGCCATCGACCGCCCTTAAACTTGACCTGGGGTTTAATTGGACCTGACCCTAGGTCAAAATTCAGAAGCATTCCATCGTCAGCCATGATTGTGATGTTGGTGTTGCTATAGAGCTTTCACATGGGCGATTAGATTCTCGATACAATGCGCAAGAAAAAAAATAAGAGTGGAGTATCTTATCTTATCTAGATTCTATCGATAAGCATTATGGATACGGTCTATACTCTCAGATCTCAGCAGCTCTGCCCTGGTAAGCCTGGCTGGCTTCATGGTTACAGTTTGACAGGGTGAGCCAAAAAATAAAAATAAAGAAGCTCCTTCGTAAATCCGAAGCAAAGTTGTCATGACGGGAACTGAAAACTTTCTCATGACCACTGACAGCGGGAGTCTAAACATTCCAGGGCACTCCGGGCGATGCACATCGAAAAGTCCCGGGTCTACGTTGTCAAATGACCGACAGCCTCTTGAGTCATCTCAAATTCCCCGAGATTCCTCAAGAGGCAGAGATCGATACGAGATGACGCAGAGAGTTTAATGAGGTGCGACGAGGCATATCCTCGATCCCACAGAATCGCGAATTCGGTCCGCGTCAGCAAAGGGAGGCCTTGCGAATGCCAATACTGTAACGATCCTACTCCTACATGTGATACACATCGCAATCTTATTAATCTATGGAAGCATAAACCCTTTGGTAAATCAGTGCTACGTCAGGTATGCGCAAGCCGTGAGGCATCGAGGGTTGTAGTTACACGTCAACTACATACGAATGCCACAGACCTGACTTGTCTATGTATGTCATTGAGGATAAGTACCTCTAGTTCGGAGTAAAACATGCCCCCTTCCATAAGCCGCTCGTAACTTTGCTCCGTCGTGCCGGAGGTGATCAACATTTTGCATCCCGCCCCGGAGACTGTCACAGATTGATAAGCGATAGTCTATTGATAGCCGGGCAAACCATCAGATAGCACTCCAATCTCCAAATCTCCAAATCGCTAACTCGAGGACGGATATTCATGGACTTAGAAGCGAAAATGCCGGGCATGTGCTTACACCCGATCGGACTCGGCTATTAACCCGTCATCTTAGGCCCTGAAGGATGACAAGCGAAAAGCCAGGGGATTTGCAGCCATAACCCATAGTGATCCGTGGCATCCGTTGTAAACGGGTATTTTTCGTTGATAGTGATCCTGTGACGGACCAAAATTGCAGCCCTGTGGCAGGACTGTTCTGCCACTTCTCCATAGTCCTGACCTTAGATGGCTGGGAATAAGTCTGGGACGGAATTCTGTATCATAGGTCAGTGTGATTATTCACGAAAATTCATCATTATTTCAAGAGTCCTTTTATGTTAGCCCTTATGACTAGATGCTTCTATAACAGGTAGTTTCTTGTGATAATATTCCCCAAGTGAAGCAAAACCAGAGCTTTGATCTTTCTTTCACATTCCTCATGAGGCTTGGACTGATAAGACGCTCGCTGACGTTGCCACACTGCGGATACAATGACTGTCATCATGAACAAAATGCTAGTTGTTCTGTTCTGAACTTCTGACAGAGAGGCTGTGGCTAGGGCAAACGGAACCCTGGCGGAGTTGCACTACTTGCCCCGGCGCCAGAGAATCCGGTGAGACTTTGGGGCGTGAGTAGGTACAATATAGTACTTTTGATACCTTTCTTGAAAGGTGCTGTGCGTTTCACTCTGCTGCAACACTGTAGCAGCTGACGGCTGGTATTTGCACACAGCCTGGTTGAGCTTACAAGCTTTCGCCACACCTTGTGTAGACTCCACCAAACTCTCGATTTCGTGATGTTTCTTCGCGGTGTAATGGCTCTAATTCATGAACCAAGTTTTCAACAATATCTATGACCGAGGATATTGCCAAAACTTTACGTTTCATAATATCAGTAATTCCACTATCATGAATGGTTCTTTGCTGAGATCCACCTTCACAATGCCCTGTCCGTCACGTCAAACACAAAGAGAAGTTAAGCTGAATAAAACTGAAATATCCTTGTTAGAAGGCCCTTGGAGGGCTAGCACTTATACAAGTGTCCTCTGGAGAGACATCTGGCAGTGACCCGACAGGCTGGACGTGGAGTTCCGGCTTCTCCCACCAAGTCTCAACGCTAACGGGAAAAGACAGACCTTGACCAATAGAAGCACATTAGATCAATGCCTAAGACAGGGAGGGCTGGATAAAAAGCACCGGTTTGTTCTCGCCCTGGCCACCATTAGAGATCGAAAAGTTGGTGGCTGATTAGTCAATGACTCTCGAGACCCTTGGCCCTGGCCGTGGACGAAGTCGATGATGGATGCATGTTCTGAGAATTCTGGTCTAGAAAACGGTTCCGCTCCTCGCTAAAATCGTCACTTACGTACGGGGCAGACTAAGGGTCGCGTGAGAAGAAGGGTCCGTCAATGCGGATGCACTTTTTAAATAAAAGAGTGGAAACTAGGAAAATGGCTGCGTACGAAAATATGTATGTTGTAGTTCAGATATGGATGATATGATTTGTGTTTTCTGATGATCCTCCACAGAAAAAGCAATTGATGAGGTCGACGAAATAAAAGATACCACTATAAAAAGCAAGGAAGAAAAAACTTCATTACCGGACGAGAGGGAGTTTCCAAAATTCGATGAAAGCTGATTGGTCGAGCCGAGCCAATATGAAGCTCTTCCAACGGATTCTTCGAACGCCAGGACCAAGTGGTCTTGGTGCTCGCAGTGCTGAATATTCTGCTCATAGATGGCTAGGATGGATACATTATGCGAGCGGTGGGAATTCAAGCATCTATGGTTTCTAGGATCAATGATCGGTGTGAATGCGCGTGTAATAGACTAAGCAGTATGAATCGATGCCACATGCATTAGATCCCCCCGCAAACAAAATGGTTGCATTCTTCTGTATCTCTGTCACTCATTTATTCACCTCGAGCTCAACTCGTCACATGGAAGCTTTGCCTCCGGAGGTTCTAGGGAGCTTCAGTGACTAAGAGAAAAAGAGACGGGGCAGGATGGAGATAACTTTGTTTACAGGCCCCAAGGCCCAAGCCTTGACTCATTCCAGAATCTGCTTCTCTCCGATGGAGTCCAGGCACCCACAAGCTGGAAGAGCACACTTAACCCCTGTCGACACCCACAGAAGAGCCACTGTGGAGTCTGAATAGGCCGCATCCAACAACGACCCGAACTCCGCGCCCCGACAAGGCCGCTATGGCCGCGCAACCATCATCGATAGGTACTTGCAGCTACAGAAGCGTCCAAGTACCTTGTAGCGATAACAGACCGTGGAGGAAGCTCCTTCAGTGGATAGATGACCGTAACAAGCTCCGTCGTGAGGGCTCCAGCGAGTGTTTCCCCACACTGACTCTTGTAAGCTGCCTCTTGACGCATACATTTTTCTACGTAACTGGGCACTTTGGCAGTAAGAGTGTCGCCAAGGTATCCACTCCACTGCACCTCAGGCAAAGAGAAAAAAAGGCAGCCACTCCCCCGACCCTAAGGTCCGGGTCCATGTCGAATATTCATTCACCCTCGTCTTCCATCCTAACACCCGAGGACAAGACGACCAACCCCAGACGACTTAATTTTTTTTCCCTCGTCTCTTTTTTTCGATCTGATCTCTTCTCGTTTCTTCGCATCTTCCCTCCCCCTTCATAATTATTCTATCAATCTGGTCTGCGCGTTTGTTTGACGGCGTCCTTGCTGTCAAATGAACCTGCAATTGATATTTCCTCTTTTTTTCTAATGTAAGTGCCACCTCGAACTCCATTGTCGCGTTTTGTTGGTCCACCACACACCACTGCCGTTCCTCCACGCCTCCCCAGATCGCATGGCCCGACACATATCTCATAATCGTTCCACTGCACACCAGGTTTGGCATTGCTCAGGCACAATGCCAATGGCAGTTGGATATACTTGAGACGCATCGTGATCAATCCCCTGATTGTTCTTGTTACTGACACAGAGGCTCTTTAGTCTCCTCTCTTCCCCCCTTGGGTGGTTTCTAAATGCCCACATACTCCAGCCTTTACTCGAATTTCGTCCGTCAAGGATCAACATTCGCAAAGTCTATTACAACACACGGTTACGCTCAATCCGTTGTTGCTGCCGCTCACCCTCACGTCCTCAACTCTCAGAACCGACCTAGCTTTGTACGACGAAAGACCAACCGACTTGGTCGCTTCTCTAACCTTCAGCTTCACTCTGCTTTCCACACTGAGCGCACAGCTTCTTCGGGCCTCCCATCCGTTGAGCTCCGCCCTGCCCAGAACCATGGAGGTTTAGACGCGTACTTCGAGGCCCTACAGCACCAGCAGGCCACCGGTGAAATTGATTCCGAATGGACCCAATTCGACTTTCAGAAGAGCATTGAATGGAAGCCAACTCCCGCTTCCATTCTCACCAAGGACCAGGGACTCTCCAAGGATGTTCTCGAGGAGGCGTTGATTGAGGATGCTGAGGTCAAATCGAACCTGTCGATTGAGGATCAGGCAGCTCTTGCGCATATCGATGCTGCGCTCGAGAGGGAGATAGAGGTACGGAGCTTACAGGAAGCAGCTGAGAATGCTGCTTCTGAAGGACGCCCCGTCTCTAGTCTTGGCTTCAAGTCACGATCTCCAGTGATTTCCAGGTCCCAAACTCCAGCAAGTGTTGCTCGCAGCTTCACTCCTCCTGTGGACCCTCAGTCCCTGTCTTATGCCGATCATCTTCACAAGCTCGCTGAGAATGGCCGATATGTTGAAATTCCCGCAGTCTTTGAGGCAATGCTGGCGACTGGCGTGCAGCCCATCGCCGGTGCCTACAATGCTCTCCTCCTGTCGGCTATCCATATCCCTATGAAGAAGATTGAGATTGTATCCAAGTCTCTCGACGTTTATGCCGACATGCTTAGGAGGAAGGTCTCACCAGATGCCGAGACCTTTAACATTCTCGTTGGCCTGCTGGCATCCCGATGCCTCGAGGTTGCTGAATTGAAGGCTGGCTTGGAGGCCAAGCGAGTTCGGTTTGGTGGCATGGACCAGGTTGGCCAATTCATGCTTGCGTCTCATGAACTCGAGCATGCCATTCTTTGCGAGGACGACCGCCTCGATCTTGCAATCCAGCTGTTTGACACCTCAGTTAACACTGATGCCGCCAACTTCACCACCGAGACTTACCATCAGCTTATTACGGCCTGTGCCAAAGCTGGACGTGTCGATGATATGCTACGTCTTTATGAGCACATGGAGGGAAGCCAAATCGTCCCTTACGCTGCTCTGTTTCCCACCATGATCACTGCTTTCGCCTCGTCCGGAGATCTGGTCAGTGCTGTCGAATGCTACAACGAATACCGCAACCTGGCCATTGCCCACGATGATGGAGAGACCACTCTCAACGACCGACTCGATGCTGAGGTTTATGCCGCTGTCATCAATGCCTACGTGGTCACTGACAAGATTGAAGGCGCCATGAAGTTCTTTCAGAAGATTGTCGACCAATATGGTGTCCGCGCTGCTGATATTAAGGATGCTCTGATCACCACCGGTTTCGTCAAGGGTTTAATTACCCGAGGCATCTACCAGGAGGCTTTAGAATGGGCTCGATCCGTCGCGGATGAAGCTCGTGTCAAGGCCATGAGTGAGATTGCAACTATTGCTGCCGATAAGGGTGATACAGACACCGCTGTCGCAGCCTACAGTGCCATGCCTCCTTACGCGGACGATCTGATCACTCCCGCGACCGCTCTCCTCGCTATGAATGTCCGTCAGACCGATGTTGTTGGTGCCTCCAAGTACTGGCAAGTCTTATGTAACCCCGGTGTGCAGGTGGATCTTACTTTCATCGAGCCTACAGCTATGTATGCCGTGGCCATGATTGGCTCTGGCCAAGTTGCCGAGGGACTGGCTCAGTCCGAGATGATGTTCCAGCGTATTCGCGCTTCTGTTTCTCAGACTCAACCTCATCTTGTTGAAGAGGTCGATGAGGGAGTTGAATTCGTCACTCGATTTATGGAGACCCGTGGCATCCCCGATCCCCGCGAGATTGCTTCTCAAGTTGCCAGCTTCCAGCCCATGTCCGCTTCTCCTTATCTGTCGACTCCTGTAGTTTCCACCTTCGAGGATACCTACGACCCTTACGCCCACAACACTGACTTTAAGGGATCCTCCCTTATTGCGGACGATCTTGAGGGCCACCATGGTCGCAAGGGACCTCGTCTTAGTGAGGCACTAAACCGATTCCGCAACATTCGACGTGCTGGCCGACATCCTCGTTACATTACCTACGCCAAGCTTATTTCTGCTGCTACTCGTGATGGCAAGTTCGATCTTTGCCATGACATTCTTAGCATGGCTCGCACTGATATGCCCATCATGCCCCAGTATGCTGTTGTTCGCTATGGATGGTCTAGCATTCTTGATGCTATGGTCGGCGCTTGTCTGACTGTGGGTAACCGAGGACGAGCTGAGCAGTTTCACCAGGAGCTGTTGGAAATCGGCGCTAGTCCTTCTGCCAATACTTTCGGTCTCTACATCACTACGCTCAAGGATTCGACTAAGACTTTTGACGAGGCTTCTGAGGCTGTCCGTATCTTCCACCGGGCAAAGGCTGAAGGCGTCGAACCCAGTTCATTCTTGTATAACGCTCTCATTGGAAAGCTTGGAAAGGCTCGCCGCATTGACGACTGCCTTTTCTACTTTGCTGAGATGAGAGCTCTCGGAATCAAACCTACATCGGTCACTTATGGTACCATTGTCAATGCACTCTGCCGAGTCAGTGATGAGAAGTTTGCCGAAACATTGTTTGATGAGATGGAGGCGATGCCCAACTACAAGGCTCGTCCTGCTCCTTACAACAGTATGATGCAATTCTTCCTGACCACAAAGCGAGATAAGACCAAGGTCTTGGCTTACTACGAGCGCATGAAGGCCAAGGGCATTGCCCCTACCGCCCATACCTATAAGCTTCTGGTCGATACCCACGCTACTCTTGATCCTGTTGACATGGATGCTGCTGAGGAGGTCCTTGGTATGATTCGTGCCTCTGGTCAACGCGTTGAGCCTGTTCACTATGCTTCTCTCATTCACGCCAGGGGATGTGTTCTCCACGACATGGAAGGTGCCATGAAGATGTTTGATTCTGTTGTCAAGGAGTCTCTTGTCCCCATCAGTGCCAGCTTGTATCAAGCTCTATTTGAGGCCATGGTTGCCAACCACCAGGTTGCTGCTTCTGAGCCTGTGCTTGCTCACATGCGAAGCAAGGGCGTGGAACTAACTCCTTATATCGCCAACACTTTGATTCACGGCTGGGCTGCTGAGAAGAAGATTGAGAAAGCTCAAGGTATCTACGATGCGGTTGGCCGAGAGAAGCGCGAACCTAGCACATATGAAGCTATGACCCGAGCTTACCTGGCTGTTGAGCAGCGAGAGGAGGCCAAGGGTGTTGTCGGTGAGATGCTCACCCGCGGTTACCCCAGTGCTGTCGTCAACAAGGTCCTGGAGCTTCTTGGCGGAGGACATGATGTTTCGGAATAGACGGCTGTTACGGTGTGGGATTCGTGATGAGAGTGTGGTAATGTTATTTTAATGTTGGCGTAATTTGTTTGATACCCTATTGTACTGGTTAGAAGGTGGGATTGGGTTGGGTTGGCTGGGTCGGGCTGGTTGTCTTTTTACAGGGAAGGCATTTTGATGAAATGTCATACTCGAGAGGTTTTGGATCTTCTTGGGCCCTGGAAAGGGACGGCGTTTGGGAATCAAAATGGGACTTACGTGGAGCGTTTGCCTCTGAATGATTGAGTTTAGGGGCCGAACGTTCCCTGGATAGATCATCACCACTCCAAGAAAGGGAAATCATTATATTACATTACATTACATTTCAGCAGCATAGAGGGACCAAAGGAGCCAGGGAACAGGGCCAGCTGGGAGGAGAGATGAAGGCCAAGAAGAGAATTGGTTAAGGAAAAGCAGAGCATGTGGTCCTGCTGCTTGTACCACCAATACAATACAAGAAACGAAGAAATGGCAACTTTGCCATCCAAAAAAGGTGTCCTTGTAGTGATGCAATTTGAGCCCATAAGGTTTCTATGGTTATGTCCAAAGTTGTCATATCCTGAATGGGAAACGTAGCAAGCAGCATGACGTGTAATTGGCATCATCACGATACTGTTGGCGTCAGTTTTGGTTGAAACTCTGGTGAATTCTGCTGTTATTGGTACAGTGTTAGAGTGACGTATGCACTGTACAGTCTAGAAATGAGGCCCCGCTGGAGTTTAATGATTCTTCTCATCTGTTGTGTTGGGTTGCGTTGCTCATGCATTCAAAGTAAGGAGCTTACTCGCGACTGAGAGAGTGACTGTTTTCATTGTCTATTGTTCGACCAAACCACCGGAGTATCTATCGTTTCTCATTTTCTGCCAATTTAAGGCTTCTTAGATAAATATCACAGATACAATGTCCCTACACCACCCCACCATCGCTGTCTCAGCTCCCGGCAAGGTCTTCCTCGCTGGCGGATACCTCGTACTGGATCAGGAGTACACGGCTTTTGTATTCGGCCTCGACGCTCGTATCAACATTATTGCTGGAGACATTCACACGACTGCTGGTGTTCAGCTCACTGAGATTGTGGTTGACAGCCCGCAATTCCTCGAGGCACAGTGGCGGTATGGTTACCACCTGGCTGGTGAGGGAGGTGGTATCAAAGTTACCCAGTTGCAGGTGTAAGTAACTTTTTCTTCATATAAATGAGTGAATAATGCGAGGCTATGTCCCCGTCGATGAGACTGGATGAGTTGCCAGTCCTCAAAGAGAGGGGAGTTCATAATGGGTTGGATGACAATCATCACATAAGCAAGGCTAACCACGAAATTCTCGCGGGAATCTCTATCATATACGCAATTTACTTCATCTTACTCACTCATCAGTAGCGGAGCACAAATCAACCCCAATCCCTTCGTGGAGACAACTCTCAGCTATGCACTCACCTACATCGACCGACTGGCCAAGCACCGTCCCAGTCACAGCATGGCATCTGCTCGCCTCATCATTCTCGCAGACAATGATTACTACTCGCACTCTGAATCCGAGAGCACACGCCAAGGGCGCTTTGCCAAGTTCCCTGTGACCTTGGGAGACGCTAACAAGACAGGTCTTGGCTCATCTGCTGCTCTCGTCACTTCACTGACTGCTGCCCTACTGGCTCACTACCTACCACAAGACCTCTTCAATATTCAGTCTGACCAGGGCAAGAGGACGCTTCACAACCTGGCTCAGGCTGCCCATTGTGCTGCGCAAGGTAAGGTCGGTTCGGGATTCGACGTTGCAACCGCTGTCTACGGATCCTGCAGATACAGGCGCTTCTCTCCCGAGACACTGTCTTCAATTCCCGAGCCCGGTGCGGCCGGATTCGCAGACGCGTTGGTCAAGCTCGTTGACGGCGAGTCTGCTTGGGATGTAGAGGTTCTCAAGGATGCAGTCATCATGCCCAAGGGTGTTGTTCTGCGTATGTGCGATGTGGACTGTGGAAGCAAGACGGTTGGTATGGTCAAGAAGGTCCTCAAGTGGAGGTCATCAAACCCAGAAGAGTCAAAAAAGCTTTGGGATGAGCTCCAGAAGCGCAATGAGCAGTTGATTGCTACTCTGAATGCTGGCGACGTCGAGAATCTGCCGGGGAAGATCACAGCTGTTCGAGAAATGATTAGACAAATGGGTAGCGCCAGCGACGTCCCCATCGAGCCCGAGAGCCAGACAGAGCTCCTCGACGCCGTCAGCACCGTCGAGGGGGTCTACGGTGGTGTCGTCCCTGGTGCGGGCGGCTACGATGCACTGGCTCTCCTGATGAAGGATGATGAGGAGACGAAGCAGCGAGTTGAGGAGTTCTTGGACAAGTGGGCTAAGGAGAAGGGTACAAAGGTCAAGCTACTAGGCGTCAAGGGGGAGATGGAGGGAGTTCGCTCCGAGAGTCTGGACGTTTACGCCGGTTGGATCTAAAAGATTAGCAGCAATCTAGAATATAGTAGCGAGAAGCGAGGATGGACGCATGCGTGCATGCATGTCTTAGACCTCCAAATGAAACAACATGTCACTCGCCCAGTCAACGACATTGTTCCGTTCACATTCCTAATGGACACTGGGTACCGCTTAGCACAGAACCCTTAATTTAGGGGTATCAGCGGGAGAATTTGAGAGCAGTAATGTCGGTGAAAGAATTAATCAGATTAGATTACGCCGGGTATGATGATATTCTGTAATGTTGCCGTTGCCGTTGCCGTTCCCGTTCCCGTGGTTCCGTAGATGCCCAATTCCCCATGATCCGCCCAATTCCGTTACCATTCCAATCCAATCCATGTGTATCGTACAGCTGTTCCTTTCCATAGACTCAAGCCAGTGCAGTGCAGTGTTGTGTTTCCTTTCTTGAGACGCCCCTGATAAAACATCTAATAGCAGTAAAAACAATAGTAATGATAAGTGTCCATGCTCGATCAGTGGAGACTGTCGGTGGACGAGAGAGAAGTGGATGTCGGGACAGTCTTGATGGGTGGTCGGACTGGATGGGAGAAGAGGCTCGAGGTTGAGCAGGGCGAGCGAGGGGCGGTAGGACTGGGAGGGTCTGCGATGCCGATTCGACTGGCGGCGGCTTGTTCTCGAAGCATAGAGAGTCTTTGTATTGTTAGTTAGTTATCAATCTTGTAGTGGTTGAAGAAGTATTAGCTTACTGCTCCTCTGAGACTCCTGGGAGGTTGACTGGGTTCTTTTCGAAACCAAAAGGTGCAGACTAGAAGATAGACAGTTAGTCAAGAACAAGATAAATTTGACGGTGTAAACATACAATCTCCATGTGACGCTTCTCCTTACGGCGTCGTTGGCGAACCATTGTTTGAACACGCTCGCACAGGGTCTGGAAGTCATCCGAGATATGCATCTTTGAAGATCGAAGCCGATTCAAGGGAAGATTAAAGCACCGAGGATCACGTCTCTCGGAAGGATAAACAGCAGCGGATCCCATCAAGTCGACTTTGAGGGTTGAAGGGCTTCTTATGTAGGAAGAGCCTCAAAAAAGGTGGTTGGTTGGAAGTTGTAGCCGTAGTTGTAGTTGTGAGTGAGTGAGTATGTGGAGGGTTGTTCTAGAGTTGGGGAAGAAGCAAGCTAGGAACGAGGCAAGCTGAGATGAGATTTAAAAGAAGGGTTGGAAGACAAGAGGCTGACTGAAAAAGGTACGAGATTGGAATTCTTGTATGAGAGAGAGGAAAAGGCGGGAAATTAAAAAAGAAGCCTCGTTTTGTTCTTTAAATTCACGGTCTAGAGGAGGACAAAGAAGTGGATGTCAGATGGGGAAAGGCATGTGGCTCGTTTTGGGAGAGTAAAAGTGGTGGTGGTGTAGAAGAGCGAGTGAGTGAGTGGTTGGTGGAGTTAAAGTCTGGTATGTTTTTGATACAAAGAGGATCATGCGAGTCTCAGGTACGAAGAGAGAGTTGAGGTATGTAGGTAGATAAGATGGGGGAGGTTGAGAGTAGGTAGGTAGAGAATGTGTATAAGTGAAAGACAGTCTGGAGGTTGGTCTATAAAATAAGCCTCGCAGGACAGGACAGTTGATGAAGCAAAGGAATGTGATGGTTAGAGAGATGTAACGGCACAAGAAATTAACACGGAAGAGGAGGATATGTACATAGGTATATATGTATGTATTGATTAAATATACGAGACCGAACAAAGGGAAACAAAAAAGGAAAATTACCTACTAGGTAGTTACTAAGTTAGGTAGGTATCCAAGAGATGACTGACTGCAGATGCAGACAACACATGCAACACAACGCACACTTGCATGTACGCACGCACGCACGCACGCACGCAAGCTCAGTGAAAACAGGCAAATCAGCAGTGACAGACTGCCCTGAACCGTCTAAGCGCCAGGGGTCAACGCTGCGCTGACGTTTCCTTCTGGAATGTATCCAAGTCACTGGAATTCCAACGTCTCGGGTCCTGTGCAATCCCGCCGCCAACAACTTTCACTTTCACGCTCACCTACCTACCTAGACTACAGTGCCCCCGGGCCTAATTTTGGGGCGAGGGGAGGAGGGTGGGTTCGTTCTCCATCGGATTGAATGTCTCAGCTGAACGACGCTTCATGGTGCGACGGGAGAGCAGACCAGAGCAAAAAGGGCCGCAAGGAGAACCCAACTGAGGTCTTGGGAGACTATATCGAGACTAAAAGTGACATTATAGTATAGTAGAGACGAAAAACAGTGCACGGTTGCAGTTATCATGTCCTTTGTGTGGGATTTATTGCCTCTGATGAAATTACGTCCATGTACAAGGGGGTCGAATATCATATACTCAATGCCTCTCGCGTGGCGCCCAAGCCTAATCTCGTGTAACAGCAACAAAGGGAGGCGGGAAAAAGTCGCCAACTCAATCCAGGGCGAGGAAATAAACGGTTATTGAATAGCTTCAACAGTGATCTCCTCCGTTACTTAGGTAGTTAGTCACTTCACCTTCACCGTCAGTGACTAAAGTAATTAATCGTGTAAGGCCACGTAGTGTCAGTTGTCGCAGATTGTTCTACTCACCGTAGAGATTACCGAATGCAGCAATCCCCCATCAACACAACATTCCCCAGGACGACCAAAACTTGCCTCTTCTTGTCTTGGTCGCCCGTTATCGAAAACGTCTCGTCTCACCCGCTTCTGCCCTGCCCTGCCCTGCCTTGCCTTGCCTTGCCCGCCTCGCCAGGGGAAACACTTTCTAGAGACAGACAGTCGCTAAGAGAAATGATGTGCACTCAAACACCGTCCTCCGGTCTTAATCATGGCAGTATCAGATTGTTTGCAGCGAGGGTCTGATTCATGTCAACACAGACCGTCGTCTCATTATTCAGAGTCAGCCCAGTCACCCTGACATGATTCGATCAACAATGGCGACCTCTCTATCTAGTTTAGTTTGGGTAGTCCTTCAGGTGGTAGCTCTTGAGCTTCACAAACTGATCAAATCCAAACTTGCTAAGTGTCTGTCCCTTGCCCGAGTTCTTCCAGCCAGTCCATGCCAGATCCTATTGTCGGTCGATCAGTCAGTAATCACGTAATGCAGAGACCCTTTGTGCTTGGATCAGAAAACGTACCGGTGCCGGATAATCGCATCTGTTGACAAATACAGTGCCGGCTTCCACATCCTCGGCAAGCTCGTATCCTTTGTCTGTGTCCTTGGTCCAGATGCTGGCTGTCAGACCAAACTCGCTGTCGTTCATGTACTTGACGGCCTCGCTGTCATCCTTGACCTTCATAACAGGAACTGTATCTTTCGTCAGCGAAATGTTTTCACCTGTCGTCGTTGTCGGGAATCTTTACTAATTGGGGCAAACGACTCCTCAGTCATGACCCGCATGCTGTGGTTGACGCCAGTCAGAAGGGTGGGTTTCACAAAGTTACCCTTGGTAGGAGGGTTGCTGAAAGTCTCGTTTTCGGGAGTGGCATCCTTGGCACCGCTGTCGACGGCATCCTTAACATGTTCCTCGGCAGTCTGCTTTGATCGCTTCGAAACGACAGGTCCCAATTGAGTCTCCTTGTTAAAGGGGTCACCGAGCTTGTAGCTCTTGAGCACATTTTGCACGGCCTCAACAAACTGATCGTGAATCTTCTCATCAACATATACCCGCTCGATAGAGCAGCAGCTCTGGCCAGAGTTGAAGATGGCACCGTCAACAATCTCTGCAGCAGCCCAATCAACATCGACATCTGATCGAACATATGCTGGGTCCTTGCCACCCAACTCCAGACCGACATTTACAATGCGGTCAGACGCAGCTTGTTGCACAGCGAGACCACCAGCGACAGAGCCGGTGAAACAAACTAGAGCGATCCTGGGATCGCGCACAATGGTCTCCATAAGAGTGGGAGAGCCGCAGTGGAAGTACTGGCAAACGCCATCAGGCAAGCCCGCCTCCTTTAGGAGATCGGTAACCCGTTCCACGATGGTAGGTGTCTGGGGTGAGGGCTTGAGGATTACACTGCAGCCTGCAAGAAGAGCGGGAATGAGAGAATTGACCAGAATGAGGTAAGGGTACTGTGCAGAGTCAGCAAAAGATGCTTCTGGTCCAGAAAAAACGAGGCGATGCCAGCACTTACGTTCCACGCAAAGATGATGAGTACAGGTCCGACAGGGACCTTTCGGATGAAACGCTTGAAGCCCTTCTCGGGTTCGCCGTCGGTGTCCTTGAGGGCCTCGTCACTAATCTTGAGGAGGTATTCACCTCTCTTGACAGCTGTGGCGACCTCGCCTGGTGTGTAAGAGATGGGGCGGCCCATCTGAACAGTCAACTCTTCACCGAGCTCATCCTTCTTGGCCAAGAGGCCATCGAGGAACTTGCGAACAATAGCTTGACGCTCCTTCAACGTTGTCTTGCGATAGCTCTGGAAAGCCTCAGTGGCGACCTTGGGGAGAGACTGAAGGTCAGCTTGAGAGGCGCCATTCCTGGTAAGGATGGGCTCGTTTGTGTTGGGGGAGATTGTGGTGATGACTTCGAGAGACATTGTGGGGTATAATTAGGTATGTGTGAGGAAGAGAGTGAGATTGTAGTGACAGATCGTGGACGAGATTATATCTTTGTAGCTGGCCACTTTTTGAAGTGCAAGTGGAGTATATGAGATGGACATCCATGAGTCTACTAAGGTATCGTCCATGACGGACGGCGGTTGGCGGCTCGCGGCTCGCGGTGCTTCAGTTGCCCCACGTAACCCGAACTCGGCGGCTTCAACCCCGCTATAATTTGATAAGACAAGATAATCTAATTGGGAATATCTAGTGATCCCATGATAGTATCAACAGGAATGGAGCTAAGGCTACCCTGATTCTCAAGGACAGTCATGATCATGGCGATACGGAGCCCCATCATAAGACTTTGACCCATGGATGCTGAAGGCAGGTTAAAATGGTATGCCAAGTACCTACATTGACGTAAACGTTTTCAGATGATTTGACTACCACATGGAGGTAACTGCTGTACTTGACACTCGGGGTTCAAATAAAACATTATGCTTCCAGAAATACCATGCCTTTACATCAAATGGTACTATTCCTTAACCTGTTGTAAACCTCTTCTCGAACAATTCTTCCCCCCATGGAAGCCTCTTATCAGTGACGTCGTTGACTACCCCTCCAAGTCACATGACCGTCTCCAACTCAAACTCAGACCCCTGCACTCTAGCGCAGCGACATCTTATCTTATCAGCAAGGGACTACTTTTTTTTTTTGACATTGGATTCTCCAGCCTCACATTGGACACAGCTCAAGCTCAGTGCTGCCAATCGCATTCATCATGGCACCCGAAACCAAAAACGACTTTCTCGATACCGCCGACAGCGATGAGGAGAACGATGTTGGCTACAATTCCGAGGATGATGATTTGAAAAAGGGTGGCCGAGGCGCCAAGCGACGGAAACTTGACTCGGACGACGAAGATGATCTGGGTAGCGATATCGAGCGCGAGGTCAGCGACGACGAGGACGAGCCAGCTGAAAAGGATGTAGAGAAAATAGAAAAAGGACAGGATGGAGAGGACAAACCGGAAAAGCCAAAGCGCAAGTTAAAAGACACAACTTCGACAGAGCTGCCCGATGTCACAAGAACATTGACAAAGAAGAACCTCGTTGCTTCCGAAGCCGCCATCAAAAAGTCAGGCGTCGTCTACCTCTCCCGTATACCACCCTTCATGAAGCCCGCCAAGCTGCGCTCTCTCCTCGAACCATACGGAACCATCAATCGCATCTTCCTCGCCCCTGAAGACCCAGCCTCACATGCTCGTCGCGTTCGCGCTGGCGGCAACAAGAAACGATCTTATACCGAAGGATGGGTCGAGTTCACAAAAAAGAAGGACGCCAAGGCTGTATGCGATCTTCTCAACGCGCGCACCATTGGCGGCAAGAAGGGCAGCTACTATCACGACGATTTATGGAATCTCCTATACCTCAAGGGTTTCAAATGGCACAACCTCACAGAGCAAATCGCTGCTGAGAACGCTGAGCGCGCTAGCCGCATGAGAGCTGAGATCAGCAAGTCGACAAAGGAGAACAAGGAGTTTGTCAGGAACGTGGAGAAGGCAAAGATGCTGGACGGCATGGAAGCCAAGGCGAAGGCCAAGAAGAGGAAGGCAGATGGCGAGCGAGAGGGAGAAGAGTCGGTGCGACAAGTCAAGAGATCGTTCAAGCAAGTTCCTCTGGCGAAGAAGAGGACGGAAGTAGAAGACCAACCAGCCGAGGTGACGAGAGTACTGAGCAAGATTTTCTGATCTGTATAGCCATTATTTTGTTGCATTTTTTGTCTATAATACCTGATTTGACCAAAACCACGACTTTTGAAGACATAGAATCCATTTAAGGCACGATAGCCATCCAATGATTGGCATGAGCAAATGTCATGGAGCCAAGTGGACCCTGAACTTTATGACTCTGAGGAAAGAATGCCACTGGACTTGCATTTTCTCAATTTTTGCCCCGCGCCTGCAAAAAAATATCCTTTCTGCCCACCGATAAGCGCTTATCAAGCGGCGGCGAACCAAATTCTCCCACTCTAGGATTTCTAAGAGTCACTGAACATCATTCATTTCCACCTAAACAACACCATCAAATTACACACGACATCGTTGCCCAACATGTCGATGGATCTGGATGACCAGCCTATCTCTATAGCCCCTGCCTCTCAGCAGCAGGGCGCTGCTACGTGAGTCTTGATCTTCCTTTACCACCCCGCACTCGTTCTGTTTCTTGGGCGCAATACTAACTTGGGCGTCCTCAGTATTCTCTGCTGCAACTGCGGTGCCCCGATCGATGGAACCGCCTCCAGCGGCGCTCTCTGCTACGACTGTATCAAGCTTACCGTCGACATTTCCCAAGGCGTCCAGCGAGAAGCGACGCTCAACTTCTGCCGAGATTGCGACCGATGGCTCATGCCCCCCAACAGCTGGATCGTTGCCGCACCCGAATCCCGCGAATTGTTAGCCATGTGCCTCAAGAAACTTCGAGGTTTGAACAAAGTCCGTATCGTGGACGCGAGCTTTATCTGGACCGAGCCTCACTCGCGACGAGTAAAGGTCAAGATCACAATCCAGGATTCCGTCCAAGATGGTATGCTGCTTCAACAGAGTTTCGAGGTTGTGTATGTGGTGGCGTACCAGCAGTGCCCTGAGTGTGCCAAGTCATACACTGCCAACGTTTGGCGGGCTGCTGTTCAAGTTCGTCAAAAGGTCCTTCACAAGCGAACTTTCCTCTTCCTCGAGCAGCTTATTATGAAGCACGGCGCACACAAAGATACACTCAACATTCGGGAGGCCAAGGATGGTATCGACTTCTTCTTCGCCCAGAAGAACCAGGCTGAGAAGTTCATCGACTTCCTCAACTCTGTTGTGCCTGTCAAGGTGAAGGCGTCGCAGGAGCTCATCTCTCACGATACCCACACCTCTAAGTCGTCGTACAAGTTCACATATTCGGCCGAGCTGGTGCCTATATGTAAAGACGACTTGGTCGCTCTGCCTATCAAGATGGCCAAGCAGAGCGGCAACATCTCCCCCCTCCTCCTCTGTCACAAGATCGGTACCTCTGTGTACCTGTTGGACCCTCAGACTCTTCAGACTTGCGATATCAGCGCACCCATTTACTGGAGAGCCCCTTTCCTATCTCTCACTGATACACATGAACTCGTTGAGTTCATTGTCATGGACATCGACCGCACAGCAACCCAGAAGGGCAAGTGGACACTTGCCGAAGCCACAGTCGCTCGTGCCTCAGATCTTGGTTCAAATGACCGAACATACTTCACAAGGACTCACATGGGTCGACTCCTCCAGCCCGGTGATTCTGCTATGGGTTACCTGCTGGCTGGAACCGTCTTTAACAACACCGAATACGAGAAAATCGAGAGCTCCAACACATACTCATCGAGAATCCCTGACGTGGTGCTAGTCAAGAAGCACTATCCCCGCCGCAGAAAGAACCGCAAGAGAAACTGGCAGCTCAAGCGTATGGACAAGGACGAGGGCGAGCTTCTTCCCAAGAAGGCAGACCAAGAACGTTTGGATCAAGAGTACGAGCAGTTCTTGCGAGATGTTGAGGAAGACGAGGAACTCCGTGCTACGCTCGCCCTGTACAAGGCTAAGAAGAGAGCCGAGGAGGAGATGAGTGTGGCTGAGACTGAAGAGGATGATGAGGCACCTCACGTTGATCTGAATGAGTTGCTGGATGACTTTGATGAGCTCACAATGGAGGATCGGCCAATGCAAGAATAGGACTTACATGAATGAAAAGAATTGATTTGATTTCCATGTACTAGGGCGCTGTCGAGATTTCGTGATACTGAATGTGCTCAGAGGAATGAAGGGATATCGTCGAGTGATGGCTTAGAGCGTGTTTTCACTTCCGTTTTGCGGAACTGGTCCCTTGACTTTTGGCGTTGAATCCTTCGTTTGTTGATCCCAAAAGGATCGTCGTCATCGATGTCTTCTTGAGCATCGCGGCTTTTGGTTATCTTACGCGCTTCGCTTCCTCCAGGTGCTGTCGTTGGTCGCTCAACGCTAGAGCCCGGCCTCGAAGTTGTGTTTATAGCTGACTTCAGTGTGCGAGGAGTACTAAACGCTGACCGAGGAGCTGGCCGTGGCATTGCTGGACTAGACATATGTGTCGTGCGTGCTGTCTTTGTAATTGCAGTGCGCGAAGGCGTAGTCAGATCTAGGTCGTCTCCTTCATCATCGGTCTCATCGTCATCGCCCAAAGGGATCTGCCTCTTCTTTACTGAGGATGAATTTATTCCTTGCTTTGACCGTAGCGGGCTAATCTTCTGCGAATTGAAACCCGCTGAAGCTCTCGTTGCTGCGGTATCAGCTAGACTTGTTGATATCCACTTGTGCTCCTTTCTGGGACTCTCCATGAGACCTTGCAGACTTGACCCTACGTAAGGGGAGTCCTTCTTCTGGTTTGCGTCAGTACCCAAGAGCTTGCGTTGTTTAGCGTTGCGGCGCACGTCCTCCTGACGATGTCTTGTAAGAAGGGTTGGCGCGCCGACTACAGGCCTCTCAATCTCGCGGATTGTGTCTGCGTTTTGGTGTTTAGCCAAATTCTTCAAACGGTTGTATTCAGAAGTATGAATGTGAAGTGTGAACTGGTGAGCCATATTGACAAATTCGTCTTCCACTATACGATATCTGTCATCGTGGTCGAGGCCTGGTCTCATGAATCTGAGTCTGATTAGCGTGTGGTAAGAGTGTGAGTCTGGGAGTGAGATGGACCTTTCTTTGGGCGGTTCCGGCGGAGGCGAGGTCGAAGGACTGCGTGTGGCATCTGCATGATATTGTCGGTTTCTTTGTAGTTTTGATGAAAGTGTTGAGTCTGGAATACCTTCTGCCTCTATCACGCACTCGCGACGCGGTTTCTTACGGGAAGCTGAGGGCGTGCCTGGAACGGGCGCTCGTGATGGTGTGGGTAGTGGACTCTCCGACTTGACTGAAGTTTTCCTTTCAGGGCCCGAAGGAGTCGAAGATGTCTTCCATGGTAGTTTTCTCCCCATGGCTGAGGGTCATTACCTATTAGTGAGGTTGAGAATGTAGCTGGACAGGTACCTAGGTAGGTAGGTAGTGAGTGGTGGGGGTTGCCACTTTAGGCAGCGCAGCGTTGAGCTAAACGAGAGCCACCTCGCACTTATACCTCGAAACTCAAATACGACTCAACATCTCTCATAATAGATACCAGCAGCAGTAGTAGTCAGGTTAAGTAAGCTCGTATACTGTTTCTCCCTCTTCTTATCTATATGTAAAATGGAAGAGATGCAAGATCGCCATTGTCTGTGAAAGACTGTATATGATCTAAGGTCGCCAGAAATCAATGCTGTCTGCCTCAGCACTTTAGCAACCAATCTGAGAAAGTCTCAACCTGTGACTTATTGCCGACTATCTGAGTTATCCATAAAGAGAACAAACAAAGGTATTCCGTTATCTGGCCTACTATGTTGGGAAGATGTGGTATAACAGAGACTTGCAAGCCGATCAGTCGCAGTCGGTCTCTTTAGAATGAAAGGACTTACCATAGTAATATAATTTTGGAGTCTCTTCAGTATGGATAAAGCTCTAATCATCTTGGATCTATTTTGAGCCGCACGGTCCTTATCATAGACTAAGACAAACTATTTGGCACAGTGTGGATGTGCTGTTAGCTGCAGTTATCGATCTTGATCATGATCATGACCGCCTACGGAAGCCCATATCATTCCAAGTCTAAGACCAGGTCAGAAAAGGCCACCTGTCCCAAGGCAGTTCCTCGAGTCTTGTATAATCTGAAGCCATTCATCTTTTCTGTTTAATACCTTGAAGGACAGATTTCTATACGGCGGCACCAAGTGCATGCTATGTAGTGGCAGCTCCATCTACCTAAGGTAAACACTACCCAACGCGGCTAAATGACCATCTTCGATGATTCCTCTGCTAGCTCCCTGGAAGTTGACTACCTAGAAATCGGATTCCCAATTCTGCATGTCTAACCGAACTCTAGACTGGCTAAGGTACCTAGGAATAAGGCCTAGATAACGAAACAGTCATGTGCCCTACGCCATTCCTCACACCGGACTATTTCCATCTTGACCATACATAAGGTAAGTAAGGTAGGTACCCATAAGGTACGCAAGGTTGTACATCCTCAATTGCGAGATGCAACTCAAGTTTCTGTTACCCCATGATATGGATCCTATTCCCTTTCCCTTAACTAGGTACTCCAGGAGTCCAGGACCCCCGGTATCGGACAAATCCCGTCGATAGTCTCGAGATTCCCCAAGTTCCTCAATGTACCTTTTTTGCCCTGACCCGCTGCAGTGGATACGCAATTGTGTAATAGCCCAAAGCACGATTTACAGTTTTTGGCTCTATGATACAATTTCTTCAGTGAATTTCATGATACTCGGGGTTTGTCGGGGCTCTGTATGGATGCTATGTTGTAAGTTGCCTGTCTCATGACATAAGGGAAACTGAACAAACAGCAATTGTTGCAGACGGTCAGCTTTTCTCCAAGACATCTCACCGTTTCCTCGGTCAATGCTTCGCTTCGAGGCTCCGTCTCCACCGTCAAAAACTTCCCTTCCGCCGGTATCCCCCGTATCTTTTCTTTCATGACTGACCTTGGACTCGACTAAGGCATCAAGGAATTGGCTACCCCCCCCCCCCCCCTGGTCCCCTGACAAGCGAGCGGCTCCCATGCGGGGAAAGGATAAGAATTGCATCGCGACATGCGGGGGTGGACTTTCCACGAAGAAAAACCAGACAGTTTCTTTTTCTTCCCCAGACGGGAGATAGTGGCAGGGGAGAAAGGGAGTGCGCGGCAATACCCTTCCCTTCCCATACCCTCCCTTCACGGTCAATCGGCGTCTCGATACCGCGCGCCGCCACTGAAGCCCGGACGACACACAGAGAAAGACAGCAGCCTTCTACCCCGAGACCGCGAGGTTTCCCCGAGTTCTATCTTATGGAGGTCGCCCAGCCTCTTCTTGTCGAGCGAGTTGTTCTGCAGGATCCTCGTGCTTGCGTCCGTTTATGGTTACTGCAACAGCAAGAATAGTAATTTTACTCAAGTAGGTACCTAATCAAGCAGGAAGTTTCGGTCTTTCCAAGGTGAGAGGCGGGCCAATCACAGACTCGTATTGAATATCGCATATCGCCCTTCTTTAAGCGGCATCAAGGTGTTCATGCTATCTGCGGGTCAAGGACTGGCGTACGCCAAGATAGCACCCTCGATCCATGATAATTTGATAACCAAAGAAAGTACGCTATCTTGAGCTCTGTCCTACTGCATCGTCATCACACGACATCACTTATAGAAAGATAGATAGATAAAACCAAGTAGGTATTTGAGTATGCAAATGCATTGGCTTGCAGTCAAGGTATATTAAAGGCTGTCAACAGCATCCATTAACAAGGATAGTCCAATGCTTTTTGCAGAGTCCCCTTCATGGTAGGTGCGATAATAATGATAAAGCTGTAATCCCAACGCCGAGTTTCTTCCAGGGTCTTGTATTCGACCACGTCCCATGAGTTTCGTACACCATCTCAAACACTCAACTTCTACCTCAATCTACACAGATCTAAGCAGACTCTCTTACTACCTTGTCAACAGCCTTGGCAAAGTAGTCGACATTGTTGTCATTGAGGCCAGCCATGCTGATACGGCCGTTCTTGGTCATGTAGATATGGAATTCTTCTCGGAGCTTCATTACTTGAGACTCGCTAAGACCAGTGAAACTGAACATGCCGATCTGATCCGTGATGTGGTTCCAGGTACCAGGGGTCTGGAGCTCCTCAAGCTTGGCTCGTAGAGTATCGCGCATGCTGATGATGCGGCCTGACATTGTGCGCAGGTTCTCTTCCCACTCAGCGAAGAGGTCGCGGTCGTTGAGAACAGTGCTGACGATGCGAGCACCGTACAGGGGAGGGTTGGAAATCTCGGAGCGCTGGAGGATAGCTAATTGGGAGCCGATACGGGTGATAGTGTTTGAGGCATCACCGGAGGGGGCGGTAACTGCGTGGAAGCAGCCGGCACGCTCGCCGTAGAGACCAAAGTTCTTGGCGAAACTCTGGGCAACTACAAGCTCGAAGCCCTGTTCAACAAAGTATCGGATAGCCCAGGCATCGCGAACGAGATCACCAGAGGCAAAGCCTTGGTAAGCGGTATCAAAGAAGGGGAAGTGGTTTCGCTCCTTCATGAGAGCAGCAATCTCAGTCCATTGCTCCTGGGTAGGGTCAACGCCAGTGGGGTTGTGTGCGCAAGCATGAAGAACGAAGACAGATCCCTCAGGAGCAGACTTGAGGGTCTGCTTGAAGCCATCGAAATCAAGACCCTTGGTCTCCTTGTGGAAATAAGGGTAGGTATCAATTGAATGGCCGACGTTCTTGAAGATCTGGTGGTGGTTCGCCCAGGTGGGATTTGAAAGGTAGACAGTGTGGTTGCCCTTGTAGAACCTGGCTAGGAAGAGAGCACCCAAGTGCACGGCACCGGTGCCAGAGATTGTCTGCAATGTTGTCGAGCGCTTCTCTGAGATGGCGGCGGAGTCAGCGCCAAAGACCAGCTCGGCGGCCTTGGATGTGAAGCTGGCAATACCCGCGATCGGGGCATACTCGTGGTTGAGCTCAGGGTCGTTTCGGAGAATCTCATCAGCCTGTGACGCACGTGGGGTTAGCTCAAATTCCAAGACTCAAGGTTCGCGCGCAAGTCGTGGCGGCGGGGCTATTGGGGCATGTTGTGACGCATATTTGCATGAGAAGGATCCAGGCAGCGCATTGTGAAGAGCTGCTGACCCCATGACCCGTAAATCGCAATCATGGGAGGGTTATGAGGCAGACTGGAGCTTGGACGGATCCGCTTCGGAAACGTCGTCCGGGTAGGGGAACGCCTGAAGGGCAATGCGTTCGTGGAGCGCAATGCAAGTGAATGCGATCTGGGGTTTTGAGGCTTCAAAGGTTATGCAGTTGAGGAAAGATGGCCGGCAATGCCGTGAAGGGGAGTGTAGCGAGTTGTACAAGAGCATCATACCTTCTTAACAACTGGCAACACCCAGGGCTTTGCGTTCTCGTCTCTGTAAGCACCGATACCCTAAACGACGAGAAGGCATAGGTTAGCAAGAGCAATCATACTTTGGAGAGCCTTCAGAAGAAAGGTTATGCTGGAGAGCATCTACTTACAAGATCGATCTTGTTGGTGCTGTCGTCGGCCTTGTAAGCTCGTGCAAGACCAAAGAGAGGGTCTTCAGGAGCCTGGGGCACGACTTCGGCAGGGAAATTTGTAGTAGAAACCATTTTGGGCGAGATGTGACGAACGATGGAGTTGAGACGAGAGATGGAGGAAGATGAAGAAGAGGTCGGTGCCGTTTTATTATCAGTCGAGCTTGAGCTTGAGGTGCTGCTGCCAGACTGAATCTGACGGGGTGTACTCAGTGACGGTGTCATAGTGGGCTGCGGCCCTGAGGATTTTCGATTTAGGGGGGTTAAGGAAGTAAGGAAGAGGGTGCCTTTGGGGTCCTGCGGCGCCGTGTCCGGTGGTCTGGGTGGAACCAGGGGGGTGTGTCTCTTGAAAGTTGAGGTCGGTGGACTTGCGGGTGAATGCGAAAGAGCCTGAGCCCAGGTGAACTGAGGTGAGAGGCCCCTGTAGGAGTGTGCGTGTGCGTCTTTGGGGAAAACAAAAAAGGTACCTAACAGCAACTTTTGTCAGTAAGTTGTGGAATGCCAGTTATTAATAAAAGACTGTTTTGGGCAATGAATTGACGAGGAAATGTTTCAATTCGGCTCCGAAACGTCTCTCAACACTCTTCCCGTGTAAGAGACTCGGGACTCGACACTATCATTGCTGCGAGGTACTTGTCCCTTACAGAGCCCAACGATTCTTATCTCAAGAACTCAGTGGTCTCTATCCGGGCAGAAGCACTGAATATCCACACGGCCCCATGGCTATGACTGTTGCGTAAACCAGATTCTGGCCTGATGCAATTGGTCATGTCCCCCCCAGACACTTCGCTGCAGGCGGGCAAATAGGGCACCGTTATTCCGGACCACTGGAGCTCTCGGGGGAAGGGGCATGCCGCCCGATGCCAAACAGAGGTAGAAGGTGGGCTGAGCTCACCGGACAACTTTCGCGGTGGGCTCTTTTGCTGCTTGTTGATGCTATCGTTGCATGGGTAGGTAGAAGGGAAGGTTAGGCTCAGTACCATACAGGTACAGAATAGAACCGCAAACCGCTTGTGCCTGTACTTGTGCTTGTGCTTGTATTTCTCTTCAGGGGGTGCGTCTGTGGTTTGATTGAGACTCGAGCTCAACTCGCGACCCCAACAGGGACAGGCCTAACGGACCAAGGGCAAACATAGGAAACTTCCTCTTGCGTTTGTGAAGAAATTGACAACTCACCTTTGAAGCTGGTGTACCTTTGTAGTTACTGGAGTTCCCTCGCCCTTCTCTCAGACGATCCCAACGAGTAGCTGGCCTGTTTGAAGCTGTTTCGTGTATAAATAGGCTTGGTATTTGATGCCTTAGCAGACGATGATAACAGTCGAAGAATAGTGTTTTGCGACGGTCGGACTCGAAAGGTTGTGCAGTCCAAATAGAGACGCAGTATGAATATGCGATTGGATTGAATAGGTATGCGACAGTACAGCTGTTGAACTTGCGCAAAGATCGTGAAACAGTTGACAATGAAATCGTCTGTTGTAGAAAGTTGTGATTGGGCCTTTAAATTATGCTCGCAGAATTTCAATAACTACCTACGGTTATCTCTTCCTTGTTGGACTGCGACAATCTAATCTTTTATGCTTTGTCCTCAAACAGGTATACCGAAAACACTTCCCGAGCTTGTGAAAAAGCTTGTGAAGCTCCATCACGTCAATATCAGAGCTCCCCGTTGTAATCGCCTACCTAGGCCTGAGAGCGTCACCTCGGCTCCTTGGAGTCTACCGTCACGCGCGTAATGGAGCTGACCGACCGGCAACCGTAACCTCACCGAGGTATGTACTCTTTCGTACATTTTGTTGCTTTACTTGGCATGGGTGACAGTGGATTTAGATTACGGAGCTAGGCTGACGTAGTGCTGTCTTTATCCGTTCGAGTAACTGATCCCATGTTCAATTTTTGCGGAGAGAATCTATGAATGAACCTTTGAAACTAATTATTAAGTTTCTAATTCACTTATGGTGTGATCTGTGGTCCCTTGAACTCGCATGTTTGAATCTGATCTCAAATATCTCATCTCACATCACGGATGGTAACTCTAATCAGCTCTCACCGTTCTATAACTTACCCTACCGTAACATGTAAATCCAAGTTCATGACCGTTGTGTTGGATCGACATTTTGCGTCAAAATCTCTCCAGTTTCTTCCCCAAACCCCTCCCCTACTAACCAAGACTCCAAATGGATCCATTCCCCAGAAAAAAGGAACCCGGTTCATTCTTCCAGACCCCTTCGATTCACTTCCCTACCAGTTTAGACAAGTTACAGCACGCATGCATTGCCAGTACCTAATAAGGTACAGTACATGTACCGGGTGGCTCTCGCGGCCCCGGACGCCCCGTTAACGTCCTGTCACGGGGAAGTAAAAAATCTTAGACAAAACATCACGAGGCTTTAGAATGCACTGTTGGGTAATAGATGGTCCAGCGTCAGCGCCCTGTTACATGCTCGCCTCCGACTTCGCCCGGCCAAAACGTAACATGATGGATTTGATCAGTCGTATGACTAACTCTGTAAATTGGAATGGTCTTTGCGATGTCTATGCGAGGTTATTCTGCCATAGAAATCTACATCTCCTGTAAATCTTGAATTGCCCCTGAATCCTTAGTAGGCTTTGAGGGTCCCGGCGTTGCAGAACATTCTGCATCGTATGTCTTTGGATTATCGAATGTTTGATCTAACCAGAGCTGAAAGACGAGGCCGATTGATTCAACGAGAAAAGTGTTCTAATTTGAATATTAGATACTATAGAAAGATTGTCCCGGGGTGAGATAAAATCTCCTGATGTCACCGGGATTACCAAGTCGATGTCATGCAGAGTACCATTCAAGTACAACGATCAATAGTTTGAAATCGAACAACAAGCAAATTCCGTTCATCATCTTGAGACTGATACATGGCATTTGTCTCTGACTGGCCCATCCATTAATTTCCCTTCGGGTCCTTGCTTATGTGGTTGTCATTAATGGGTATCTCAAAGTATGCTGGTTTCTACTCACATACCATTACAAAACTCATTCATTGCCAGTGGTCTGTTTTACTGGTTCATATAGTGGCAATCCCGTGGTCTCGCTCGTCACAGCTATGATGAAACCAGTCTGAAGTGAGAATATATCCCAGCTGAAAGTGGTTTTTGTTTTCAGGCTATCCATTTCCCATGAGTTCCTTAGGCACTACGAAGATGAACATAACAAGGCACATATATGTGCTCCATCTTCGACTATCTGCGTAGTATATAGTATCGAGATGTAGTTGGTTGCAGCTCCCACACCCTCCCAAGCTATTAATGCCTAGGCGTCAGTATGTCTGCACACCCTTTTGTTCGTTTGCCAACTCAAAACACCAGGTCCCAAAGCACAAGGAAAGCGCAGAGCCCACTTGCCGCAAAGAATGTATACTTTGCTGGACTTGCGCGCTGTGTCGCCTTTTTTAATTCCTTGTTGCCACCGCCCACGTTTTCCGTTGTTGCAAACGAGTCCGCTACGAGCTGATCTATATGCGCTGACTGTGTGGCGAGGTTATTTACGAGAAGTGACTGCAGCTCAGCTATTTCTAGCAACGACTTCTCAGCAGTTCTGTCGTACGAGTGTTAGCTCATACGCATGAATCAACTTCCCTTCCCCATGGGGTGGCGCTTGCGCTTGAAACTCTAGTACAGATACAACCAAGCAAAGGTGTGCCGATGGAGATCGAGAGGACTTATGACACGTACCTGACTTTGTCCAAACTATTCTCGAAATGCTTCATCATGTCTTGGTTCCCTTGCTCAAACATCTGTATTTGTTCCTCTGTCAACCCCTGGCTCGGGAACTGACCGTCTTCGGACATAGGGATCGATGCAGCAGGGGCTGTTTGGGAGTTTCGTCGGGCAGATGGAGCAAATTCCGCAAAGTCTCCAGCAATGGTGGCGCCTGATCTTGAAAGCATGCTGCGGTTTTTCTCCAGCTCGCGCTTTAGACGTGTTTTCATCATTTCTTGTTGCGTTCGGCAGCATAGCTCGAGTCGTTGCCGTAAAAACCAGAGAATACTATCTCGATGAATTCCCAAATCTCGTGCCTTGGCCTCAGCTTCTGCATGCTCCTCTGTTTTGCTGCTGATTATACCGCCTGAAGCCCATGCTCCAAAAGCTCCCAGGCCTCCATATTTCTTTCGGATTATAGCTGATTCGGTTTCACGCCGTAACTGTTCAGCCTCGTCGAGGGCACGAATGCCAGCATTCAATTCCCGGATCATCTGTTTCGCATTGGCGTCGACCTCCTCTCGGTCTCGATCTGTAAGCACACGAGTTTGTTCTTTTGAGACTCGGTTATGTGTCTTTCGTGGCTGCGCAGTCGATAAATATGCTTGTCGAACATCTTGAAGCTCTCGATGTAAGCAGGTGATATGCGAATTCTGTAGATACTAATCAGTTTTGGGGGTGAGGTCGAACCGAAGCGTATGGCTTACAATCCTATATGCCTCCTTTAAGAAACCATCGATGGCTTCCAAGGTGACACGTTTTCTTGTTTCCGGCGCATTTCGTTCCCGCAAGAGCTCATTGAAAGTGACCGTGACATTCATGGTGTGTGCTTCGAATTAGTCCGGGGCAAAGATTTTCGCTGAAAGGGTGAGCGGTTGGTGAAACCGAGTTCTTTAGTTTATGTACTTTAAAACCGAGGAGTTCAAGGCTTTGTCTGAGCATTCGAGTCAAGCTCTCTCATCAATAAAGGCCCAGGGTTGTTGTAGACACCATGGCTGCGTTGGTATGAAGCTCTGACGCACTTCGAAGAAAGCTCCACGTGGCTTAGTCATCGAGCAAGCTTGAATGCCGAACCGACCAAGCTTCAATTGTGATGCAACTTCTTTATTTGGTATTTTGTAATGATTTGCAGTCAGTTGAAACTTATACGGACCTTCTAGTCCTCCACTCTTCACAGCCTTTTTGTAAATAAAGATCGTCTCTGAACTTCCACATATTCAAGGTGCTCAGTGGGCTGATCAGGTTCACTCAATTCAACCTCCGAAAGACTGTATGTTACTAGAGAATTATGAAAATACTAGTCATCTATAAGTGCCTTTAGTATCCTTTCCCATCAAAGCTTTCTTGATTTAACAGCGAGGCCGACGAAATTGAGTACGAGGCTCAAAATATCTCCAGGAGACGGATCAGAGCAGAGCTCGGCATAAAGTAAAGACACGCCGAGTCCGTAAACTGTGGATAGAAGCCAAGACTATCGGGAATAATAATTCTATTACCGATAAAGAATGTTCTCCGATCGCGGGCAAATTGTTAGGTAGTAATAAAAGACTTGTCTTCCAGTTCTCGGTGACTGTCTCATCATGTTTATTGTATATTCCATCTTTCTGTCCAGCGAAGATGGAGGAGAAAAGCCAAAACCAGCCCTCTCCCAACACCGAAAACCGTCCGAGACATGACCATGACGATATCAGCGTACAGAGCACCGAGTTGGAGACTCTTCAGGGCCTCCGTAACCATAATACCGAGAAACTTGGCAGACCGCCACATAATGTATCAGCATCTCAGGCTGACGAGACGATAATGGGTGACCCCGAGAGCATGACTAGAGTCTCAAGCGGTCCAGCATACAGCGTTTTCTCAAAGAACACAAAACGATGGATTCTAGCTTTGGTCACAGCAGCCAGCTTCGTCTCACCTATGACGGCCAACATATACTTCCCCGCTATCCCTCCTATAGCCCAAGATTTGAACATATCTGTGTCACTCGTCAACCTCACCTTAACATCTTATATGATTTTTCAGGGATTATCGCCAACTATATTCGGCGACTTCGGTGATATGGCCGGGCGTCGACCCGCTTATATACTGGCCTTCTTGATTTACATATGTGCAAACATTGG